GAGAGAGAGAGAGAGAGAGAGAGAGATTACGGTGAAGATGTGGACGGATGAGGGTTAGACATGGATGTAAGCTGAACATTGAAACCTCGGAAGAGGAGGTAAAGGGGGGGTGTAAATGCCTGTAAGATTGTTTGGAGCATGGTGGAAGCTTCTCGGAAGGAATGATGGTGGAATAATCAATGATGCACGCTCAAAATGCGGCTACCAAATCCTAATATATTTACAATGAGATAAGGCTTTAAAGCTTATAAATATAGCTGACGGATGTGTACTGAAAATTACTATATACCCACACAACATTAAGAGACAGCTCTGTGGCTTTGTTCTCTCTTTTGATGCTGATGTATGAATCATCCTCTTTTCAAGCATAGGAACAGGAGTTTGATGTGATCGAAGATTATCTTATCTCTCTCTCTCTCTCTCTCTTCCTTCACTAAGCCATGACATCATAAATCAGACTATTTGTTGCATGATCTTGATTACAATTAGTTCAATCCAGAGCAGGTCAAAGTTCAAGCATGGGATTGAGCTTAATGTCAATGAAGAATATCTTTAAGTGCCAATCTCTCTCTCTCTCTCTCTCTCTCTCTCTCTCTCTCTTCATTAAGCCATGCAAGATTATTGATTTCAGAAGGCTGATAAGATGAGCTAGAAGACCCAAATCTGTTGCCACTTTCCTAACACTTGTACGTCCCTTTAATCTCAGTCAGCAATTAATTCATAGATTATGATGAATAATGGCAAAAAAAATCAAAGTATTTTTAAGATGAATATAGCTAAATATGTTTCCGGATAACTAGAAATTTTCATTAGAATATAGAACCATTATGGAAGTATATTTTTGTTTTTACTGTATATTAAGACCTATCTTTCTAATAGACTAGGCATATTAATGTAGAAGTAACTGTGCCTCATTACACTGCTGAAATTGTGATTCTGAGCAATTATTGGTTTCTCTTAATTTTTTTATATGTTAAATAAAATGACTAAAGCATAAGTTCAATGCAGGACTTGAAGCTGGTTTTTTAGATTATATTATTCTGATTTGTTAATACAATTAGCTTTGAATCAGTCATTCTGGTTCAGATTATGTTGCAGTGGGATGTCATTGGTAGACTACAATTTGACACAAACAAATAGTTAGTAGGTATATGGCAATAAATTTAGCTCCTTGTTCATCTCAATCCACTCAGAAGCTCTTGTGGTTGTTCTGTGTTCTTTTTATAAAATAAAAAAAAGAAATCACATTTATTAAATCAAATTAGGATGTACTTACTCTTTATTGAAACTGTCCTGTTTATACATGAATTATGTTCATAAAAAGCCAATATGGGTAAATCCAAATAAATTATACAGTGTTAAGAAAAGTCTGGCTAAATTTATTTAGGCAGTATCATTAAAAATCTAAGACAATGTATACAGACTGCATCAACACTTCAGAAAGATCCACAGTAAAGAAACAACCAACACTTGATGCAAAGAGGAAGAAGTTCAACAATCACTTCCTATAAAATCCAACATATGAAACTGGATATTCTGGACATCACTGTAGTCTACTTTATTTAAACTTTTACATTAGTACCAACTACATCCAATATATGAAATGCACCCAATCAATGCCACTCCAGAGCAACTGCTTCTGCTTGACTTTTTAAGTTTGACTTGTAGCGGCAGAAGGGAATCGAAATAGGAGCAGGAAAAGCTGGATGATTGATGACTTAATTGACTCTGTGATGGAGAAGTGCAAACAGAATCAAACATCGAGCAGTTCGCGTTGGTTTTTCCATGAAGGCTTTAGAGAAGTACATCCTTGTCATTGAACAACACAAAGGCATCCAATGCTGTCATCAGTGAAATCCTCTGATTCTTCAGATTCACTGTAGGCAAGAAAAAAAAATAATTAAGATAATGGAATAAGATATCAGAAATCAACTTCGGTTGTCAAATCATCATAAGCATCCATAGTAATATTTAAATAAAATGATTAGATGATTTATGAAGAATCCCATCATAGAGGCTGATGAAAGTTTGGTAACAGTAACCAACCAATATAAAGGCTCACTTAATAAAAACAAAAACTGAAGCAGATAACAAGCAAGAAATTCACCAGATATCATCAACTTTTACGGCAAGAGAAAGGAAGTCACACTCTTCCCTTTTTCCCCTATTGTTATCACGAAGTTAATTCATGATAGATTTGTTACAGATCAGAGGCTTCAAGTCAATGAAAATTCAGAAATGCAGAAACTCATCGGAACTATAGCTTCCTTAGTGGGTGAACCGACAAGTGTGATCAGAAACTGGCTATAACCAATATAACTCAAATAATGGATGTTGGACATCCAATCCACCTAACCCAACCCAACCCTTGAATAAAGTCCAAGTCCAAATAGGACTCCAGGTTCAACTCTTAATACAATTTCGAGTGAATCCCAAACCCACGAATAAACTCAATTCTGACCTAGTTTAATTTTCAAGTCCATTTATGACTCAGTCCAATTCTTAGCTTCAGTCCATGGTAAAACACAAATGTATTAGCTTAACCTAATCCACCACGATGAACCCTACCCTTCTTTCATTTGATTCCCAATTTACTTACCAAATGCAAATTGTAACTTTTAATTTCACCTAATCACTATGACAAACTTTTGATAAAATATCATAGATATGGTAAAACATGATACACTTGAGTTCAAACAACTTACCACAGACTCCATTTTAATTGAGTCGGTAAGTAACTCAAATTGAAATTCAGCATATTGTCCCATACCAGCTTTTTAAGCAAACAAGTGTCGACATCGTTGTACTGCAACCTGGGCGTCTTGAAAAACTCAAGATGAACGTTAATGTCCGCTGCAGAACCGATAAGGACACATCATATTCAGTTGTGTGCCAGCTTTGTGAGACAACATCAGTCTTGACCATAACAGGAGAGCTCTATATACTGTCTTAGTTTTCACTAGAAGAGTCAGTACCAGATCTGATTTGTTCTTTATGGTTTGTGTTAACCTCCATATTATATAAATTTAATAGAATAACATATTCATCAATTTTAACCTTTACTTTCATTAATTTTTGAAAAAAGGCTACTTGAAGTTGAAGTTGTAACCACAGAAAATAACAGCTGATAAGGTAATTTCCAAAACCAGAGCAAATAAGGAGAATTAATTGATATGACATATCCATCTTAACCTGCTCTGATTCTTGACTTGTATCAACTTAACTAATGCCTAGCCTCCAATTAACTTGACTTGTATCCACAAAAGTCAAAAAATCTCCTAATCATCTCTCAAGTAAATAAAATAAATTGAAACATCAGTACCATTGTTTATTGCCCTGGGTCTCTGTAAGACGAGTCTGACGCAACATTAAGTTAGGAAATATAAAATATCTATAAAAGAACTTGCGTCACTGAGATGAGGATGCTGAGCAGATATTTCTGAGGTGAAAACCATTTAAAGGTGTACCAGGCAGGTTTTTAAGGAAACCCACAATGCACTAAAATTACCAAAACCAAAATCCCACGGGTTGAGCCAATGACTGACAACAAAATAAAATCCCAACTATATTTTACGCTAAGAAAGGTGACCATTTAATGTACACTGTGTGCTGAAGACAATAATAAAAAAGACAGGAGTGCAAAACATCCAAAATGACATTATGAAAATTACGAACGACAAGTTAGTTGTCAAACAAAACAGTCAAGTCATATTTTTAAGTGGGAACCCAGATATTCGCAAACTAAATCCCATAAAATATGTATACCTAGGTTTCCTAAGACGAAAACCACAAAGAGATTAGAAGTGTTAGTCTTTGAGAACAACACATAGGAATTGTAAATATCCTTTCTGGAAATGTGATTAAACGATAAAGGACGATGTCATAAAAAGATGCAGATAGCATAATGCAAGACAGTGCGTAAGTCTGTCTTCACATCCATGATTTAATAGAACAGTATACACAAACGAATCCAGCATCTAACTTAACGATGTGAATACAGAACTAAAATCATAATGCAAAACTTGACTAAGGCTCAGTCAATTGTTATCTAGGAATGATTATCTAAATAAGCAGACAGATCGCTGTCTCGACCTTTGCTAACCATAGAACAACATTACAATAACATCAAACATACATAGAATTAAGTAATGCAAGTTTTAACGTTGTAAAGATCAAAGCAATAAGAACCATTTCAGTAAGCATGGTAAGGATAAACTTACGCTGCTTCAAACTCCTTGATTTCAACAAGTTCTTTACCCAACAAATCTGTCCATTTAACATTGAGCTTTCCAACCTGTCCTGAATCCGATACTCTTGGCTTCTTTAGGCAGCTCTTCAAAAAGATCTCAACCATCACATCCTCTGCACTATTTTGCTCGGTCACAACCTTCTCATCAGATGGCTTCTCCTCCAAAGCCATAGAAACTGGAGCCGGGCTCGAGAAAACATTTTGGGCGTCTCCCCACTCCGACTTGGGAGTGCAAGGCGGGTAACAGCGGACCGATGACTCGGAGCAGCAGTCAAGAGGAAAGTGGCAATTGCATGATAAAACCCTCATGTCAGATCACAACCCCTGAAGGCTCATTTTACGACCCAAAAAAGGGGATTTTTCGGGAAGAAACGCCTAAAAAACCCAAGCCTTCAATCAAATCCAAGAACAATTCGTTCAACCGAAGTCTCCGATAACACCCAGAACCAGAATAAAAGGATCGGAGAATCTTGGAACCCAATACAAGCACCAAAAAGGTGGAACCTTTCTTCTAGGAAATGAAATCCCACAACCCACCGCAGTAGGTCCAGGAATCAAGATTGGATTCTGCTGCAATTTTGGGATAGCTTTAAGCCACCCGAAGAGGAAAACTCCCAGGAAACGAAGAATAAATATATAATAAAAAAAGATGAAAAGATCGAGCACAGGAAAGGAATTCCAGCAACAAACACGGTGCCTTTCAGGACATACGAGACAGTGAGGCACAAAACCAGTGAGCCACGGTGTGAGAAGATAAACCACAACTGGAAGCTCTTTTATCCACCACTAGGAATAGGGAGAACAGAACACCTAAAAGCCTCTACTCCCACTGGCTATGGCTGATGGTATTCTGTGGTGTTTGATCTGATAGACATGGCAGTGAAGCCCGTCTCTCCTCTCTTCATGCGTGCTTGGCGGTCATGTCGGGCCGCTTGCAGTGAAGCCATTCCTTGTCCTTTTTACTCTGTTTGCGTTTGTAGGTTTCACTCACTTGCTAAGGTGTTTATCTACATGACATACTTAAAAAGGAAAAAGTTATTTACTAAATGGATATATTTATGGGCGAATTTTCAAAAAAAAACTTCATCTTTGATAAATTGTGATTGAATGTTTAAAACTTTAAAAAAATTTCACATGGTATTCCTTATTATTTAAAATAATAAATTTATCCTTATTTTTATCGAATATGTTATCGCCTATGCTCTATGTCGTCTAAATAGACATTGTCGAACCCATCTCGTCCTTGTTGCTCTTGCATGAGAAAGGAGGGAGAACGACGATGGCGACTCTCATCATTCTCTTTCACGATCCTTGTCAGTGAAAAAATGTCTAACAAGATTATTGTTATCATCCATTGTATAGAAACGAAGATGATGACAAGTTTGACAGGACAGAAGAAAGGAGAAGCAGGTTCGGCATGGGCAAAGGTAAAATGATTATTTAAAAAAATATTACTCTATGAGAAATTTTTAATTTTTTTTGAAATTTCACCCTATATTTATTTACTAAAGTTTTCTTATTTTATTTAATTTCAGACTCAAATTGATAAATAGAATATCATTCCAACCCACACAAAATTTGACGATATATATTTCTAGATCATACTGTGAATAAATTATGAATGCATATATAATAATATTTTTATAATAATAGTTTATCGAGAAGATTTTATGTCGATGAGAATAGGAATCATTGGTAACCTAGTCTCTAGTAAGAAAAAGATAATCTTAAAATTTATATTATAATAAAAAATAATTATCTTTAACCGAATATATTTTTCTTTAAGAAGCATAACAACTAATAAAGATGCATGTAATTAATCCTAAATATATAAAGTATTACCATACTTATTACAGATGATTTCTCATGCACTTAAAAGTGCAGCTATGAAGTAGCATTATAGAACTTTTTCATCTGATGAACCAAACCTGACATAATTAGTAATCATACATTTCTCAGTCCATGAGAGGTATATAAGAAAGCTTGGGACATGTTGAAGTTACCAGACAAATCTACCCCACCAACACCACAAGATGGGGGAGATTCCAGTGAAGAGTGCAAGAATCTTACCTGCAGTCTCTGGGACAGCAGAAACAAGAAACACAGTGAAAACAAGAGAGAGGACAAAAGTATACACTACAAAGAGACCATCCTGCCTCACACAGTACACATGTGATACACAAGCTTTGATGGTCATACAACATGTGCCTAATGTATCTGAATCCTTTGACTGATGCATCTTTGACTTTTACTCTGATTAATCTGATTTGACAGTTGCAAAATTTCCTCACTGCATCAGAAACATGCATTGGGGATTTATAGGGAGGTGGTGAAGGATAGCTGTGTAGTTCTCAGCAGCTTTATCTCAGATTATACTAAGCATTTGGAATTTGTTTATATTAATATGAAATGGTAAGAAAGATAATGAGTATTTAAAGACAACTAGTTTTGGGGAATTATGTTCAATGAGACCTCGATAATGATATGCTGCCAAGTAATAGGTGAAGTGATGATGGCTTGAAAACAAAATGTTCCTGATAGGTCACTGTGAACTGCAATAAAGAATGATTAGCACATAATGATAAGGATATATCAAGCCACCTGACCAGAGAAATGAGACCTAAAAGGAAGAGCTTAACTTGTGTTTAAGAGTCATCCATTTGAGAATTGAGTAAAGAATGCAAACACACATCCATAGTTTTATTTCAGTACCTCCTTTCTGTGGAAGATGAAAGAAAGGAAAAAAGTATATAAATTTGAGATTTATAATCCTATCTTCATCGAGTTTTCTTGCTTCTCAAGCATTAGCATGTGGGTGCACATCTCACACCGAGAGTTAAGTATATAAGATAGGATAAAGCACTAGTATTTTTCATTTTAGGATAAAAGGTTTGATAGAGATATGAAAAGGATTGAACATTCCTTTTACCCATAAAAATATATTTGAAGCACCCTAATTGAATGGCTGTTGCCAAACAAATCAGAAAGATCCTGCATCATGATCTGTGTAGCAGTATAGATAAGATCAGTCAGAAGTAAGCCAATCGGTGAGAAGTATCCAAACAATGATAGAAGAAAACCAGCAGTTGGCACATCACTCTCTTCTTAGGTATCACATCGGGTGCCAGCTTCACAAGAAGCTTGGATTAATGTATCTAATTATTGTGGTTTAGATTACATATCTATTCTGAGACTGTTGCAGAGTTGAAATCAGGAATCATAAGGTATAAATATTTTAGATTTAATTAATGGACCAAGAGAATGTTTATGGCAAGACGGAGGAGATTGACAGCTCTGTAAATAATTCAGTAATAAAAGTCAACTACAATGGATGGCCTGTTCAAACAAAAGACTCTCTGCAGAGAGTTCATAATTTATATGCATCATTTCATAGAGTCTTTACCATTTCCAAGTCATCTAAAATCAAGATATTAGATGGATTTCCAATCTATTTCAATCAATACTATAATATCTAAGAAATACACAAGTCTTGAGTGCTTAAATCTGACAGCACACGTCAGACACATTCATTAAGATAAAAGGTAAACATTTATCCTGCAGGTAGGAACCAACTACTGGAGGGGAGGACAACCATGCTTATACCTGAAGTTTTACCCTCGACAGGGCTCCATAGTAAGTAAGACTAGATCAAATTTGATCTGGAATTTTGTAGCTGATGCTGGATATCTTTTTCTTTTCTTTTCAAAGAGAAATTTTACTTGACACAACAAATTCAAGATAAAAATTTTCCAGGCCACTGCTCACTGGGCTGATTCTGTAACCAAAACATATCAAATTCTCAAAGTCCTAGCAAAATTGGCAGCCTAATAGCTGCTAAATCTCCCTTCAGGTTAAAACTTTGCCATCTTATGCACCCGAAACCATCATATGTCAAAGTCAATGCAACTCGAATAGGATTTTGTGTTGCTTATCCTGGGACGATAGTGCATTATTTATTTTACAGAAAATTTCTTGAGACACTGGAAAATGTTCTTTTTTCTAAGTTCATGTTTTGCTAAAGAATATGTATGCTCTTTGATCCTTACAAGTTGGCTTCCACAGTTGCAGGAGCCAATAGTGACTAAAGCACGAAGATAGCTGATGTGAGAGCTAATGATCCATCTTTTGAGGATGGAAGAGCTACAAATTGCTCAAAGCATAATAATGACTAGCTTCAGCTTTGATGAACACCAGTTTATTTAATCTCTTCTTTTCCAGTGACATTTCCAACTTATTTGGTGTTCAAACGTTTGTTATGTTGTCCAGGCATTCCTAGGATATTGGTGTCTATGACTAAGCAGAGATGATGCATTTGTCGTCATCCCTTGAGGATGGAAGACTCTCCCAAGTTGTATAAATATCAAACATTTCGTCTACCGGTTGTTGCAATATGCTCACCGTTGTGGGGATGACAGAGATTGACCTCAAATTCTATAGTGCATTTGGATCCAGAGTCATCTAAAGAACTGAGGACTCTTTTAAAGGGTGGTAATAATCTTTACCATGGGACCTCCTATTTCAAAGCCATGCAATTCTGAGGAGCAAACTCAAAACTACAATATCCAGTTGTCAGAAAAAGGCATTGGAAAAATGACCGAGAGAAATAACTTTCATCAATGTTACGGTTCCATTGACAATCAAAATTGTTACCTAAACATAACCAAACCATTAAAAAGAATTAGTCTTCTCCAACATGATGAATAAAACTTAGGTGATGACTTCAAGATCGAAAGACAACATCAAAGAGGATTGTTAAGCTCATCGCTTCTTAGAGACACCAACAGTCTTTCCCCTCCTGCCAGTTGTCTTGGTGTGCTGACCACGAACTCGAAGACCCCAGAAATGACGGAGACCGCGGTGGTTCCTGCAAGAGAAAAGCTGATGTTTAAGCAAGATCGTACAAGGAAGACTCACCATACAAAAGCAAATTAGGCACATAAAAAAATAATATTTAAGCACATGATAAAGACACTTGACAATGACAACGTGATTGCGATATGCATCATTAACACATCAATGTGGTTATGGTATTCTATTTTGGACACCAACAGCACACCTTGTGGTGAACCATGAGCATCAACACACTCATTGAAAAGGTGTGTGTGTATATATATATACATCATTTGTCGTCAAAGTATTGAATTCATATGAAAAAAATGACTGGTTAATGATTGAACATCAGGACTACCAAACCCTAACTCTTAATAAAAAACCACTAGAACTCTAATCATTAATAACAAGTCCAACTAAAACAAGCTTGAATAGCAAAATTGAATAAACACCTTGACATGCCACTTCAATTATAGCAATTACCATGTAGAACATTTAGCTGATTAGTTCTCAATTTAAAAGGTCTATTTATTGACTGTAGCTCATCAAAATGCAATTACAACCCACGCCTGATCAACACATATCTTTTAGTCTATACTCCAATAACCAATCTATCAATCTCAAAACTGAACTCTATACAAAGAAAGGCACACAATAAATCATAAGGTTTAAATAGTTGATCCATTACAATTTCTAGAAACAACTACCCACTCATACAGACTCTGTTATAAAAAAGAAGAGGCATCGAAATCATACAAAAGGATAGCTGCATAGGTGGTGAAATAGAATGTCAATTGCATTCCAGGTAATGTGCTTGGGGCACTCCAGGTACAACCTATGGGAAGACAGGTGCACAGGAAATAGCCAGTTTATGCATCAATATGTCCATGCATCATGTTACATTGCTCAGACCAGACTGCTTATGGCTAATACATGATTGCACCTCTGATATCATTCTACCAAAATAACCAGAGAAAGGATTTTAGATCCTTTGAGACTTTTACTCCCTCCTCTTTCACCAACCAAGGAAGAACCATCCTCGTTCCAATAAGATTAAAAGTCTTATTTTTAATTATTTACACCTTCAATACATTTGAGAAACATTCATATAATGTCCAACCTGTATACAGAAAACATTATTTATATTAACTTCCGATTTCTTATGTGTATCACCACCATTCTCTGCTGAAAATGCTCTTTTTCTTGAACTTGCAGTGCTTATTAACAGATTATCTATAAATCAATAACTACATCACATGACTCTTGGTAAAGACTCTCAAAGCACCCAAATATCAAACTAACGAACAACAATAATAAGGCATTATAAAGCATTGATATGCAGTAAAGGTAAACTAACAGGAGGTTGATGACAAAAAAGTACTAAATTGAAAATGGGATGTAGCAAAGAACGGCGAAGTCTGAATTTAATTGTACATAAACAAACAGCTGATCATTAAAATAGGATACGCGTTCTACAATATGGAATTAGATGCATGCAGAAAAGCAAACACATTTAGATATCCTTTGAAACAACTTTCAAGAAGAAATATAAAATGAACCATGCAGCAAATCTTAAGAGTCAGGAACAGCCAACCTTATCTTCTTCAGTCTCTCAAGGTCATCCCTCAGCTTCATGTCTAAGGCATTTGAAACAACCTGAGAATATCGTCCATCCTTGTAGTCTTTCTTCCTGTTCAAGAACCAATCCGGGATCTTGAACTGGCGCGGATTGGCAACAATTGTCATCAAGTTCTCGAGTTCGGCAGCCGAGATCTCACCAGCCCTGGAAGAAGTTGAACATGTAATAAAGCAACCCAAAAATACCAAAAAACAGCTAACACAAAAATATTTGACCTAGATTTAAGAAAGAAAACGAGGCTCAATTCACAAATATATAGAAACAAAAATATCATATGCATCCAAGAGATTACAGGATAAATAATCTTCCACCAAAACCTATCAACAAATGTAGATACCAATTCTTCAAAACTCAATGCCACTAATATCTAGACATACACAATTACTTCCTCCCCAATCACAGAAGTGTTTTAAAACGAATAAGCACATATAACCTACAAGAACAGTTCGTGATCAAAAAATTAACTACCAAATTCGAATTTCAGAAAGAAGATCGGATTCAACTAGAAAGAAACGAACAAATGGAGCTTCCACATCAACCCTCCAACAAAGCTGGAAAGATATTTCTGTACATAAACCAATATGTAACATGGATAGATAAAAAAAAGAGGAACCTCTTGTTCATGTCGACGTCGGCCTTCTTGCAGACGATGTTGGCGAAGCGGCGGCCGATACCCTTGATAGAGGTGAGGGCGAACATGATCTTCTGCTTCCCATCGACGTTCGTGTTCAGAACACGAAGAATGTGCTGGAAATCCTCGTTCGCGACCAGCGACTGCCGGTCAAAGTCACCGCCAGAAACAAAAGATCTGATCAATCACTTGAGGAATTCACAAGAAGTAGAGAACAGGCATGGGTCCGAGAAGCACAGCACATACCATGGCGGCGGCTAAGGTTTCGCTGTCCGCCCTTCGTCTGATCTCGCTTCTCTCCCTATGCGGCGGCGATTGGAGGAGGAAGAAGGAACCCTAGGAAGCATGTTATTATAGGCTCCGCAGATAAGTTACCGTCTAATCGCACAGTAAAACCTCGGTACCCGTTGAATATACCGTCTTTATGATTGGAGCACGCACGTGGGGGACCGGTAAATCACGACGGTAAACAGGCTTTGCTCTAATTTGATCCTCATATGTGATTTAAGATGCGGGACCTTATTGGATCGGATTCGCGTCCGATCGATTTAGGATCCGTATCTGAATACAATGAGCTAATGGATCCAACAAGAGAATCCACATCTAGCAGTATCGGTTCCAGACCGAACATGTAATTTTAATCGGATCTGATCGAAAATAAATATTTGAATGTACCCTTTATTATTCTAAATGGCAACAAATTAACAATATATTTTTTTTCCAAATCATGAGAATAAAACCAATGATCAATCACTGATTTTTGAAGCTTTTATTTTACTTTCTTGAACCAATTTATCTTTGTTTTTCTTTTTATTTACCCCTCAAGCATGCACGTTTCATGGACTATTTACCAAGTTTAGAAATCATAATGCATTATGATGGATTAAAATCTCAAACTGAATAACACAGAATATATTTCTCCATCTTCAATCTGAGACAAGTTTCAACTCCATCAACACATTATTCCTCATGCAGACATCATACAAGCACTGGTATATTGCTCAAAGGACACATGAAATGGAAATGACACTCTCACAGCAACCAGATACTGTCCTCAAGGCTCAAAAACCATGCACTCGGCTTCTTTCTTGATTGATTGGAAGAGCACCGAGGATAGATAACGTTCTCCAAAGCTCGGGAAGACAACCTACACGCACCAGGGAATATACGTGAGCAGAGAGCATATTCTTATGACCAAAAAGCTTAGAAAGATGGATATGATAAGCTGAAATGGTTCAGAACATAAAAGCATGAAGACAAAAACCCACTTCATCGATGAGACGTCTCTGAATAGTTCATACTAAGCATCAGTTTGTCGAACGCTCTAAATATGAAAGGGAGACACTTCTGGCACATACAGACTTGTTGAATGGCGCACATATGGTTTTCATCTTTCTCAATGAAGGTTAATTAGAAGGACAAAATTGAAACTATGAACATTTGAAAAAATGTGTAAGAAGTGGAGCATACACAAGTGCTTTCGGAGACCCCGACAAAACTAATCAAAGAGCTGAGTGCGTTTTGACTTGAGAATTTAACCAGAGTAAAATGCTCTTTAACTCTAGAATTTGAATGCTGTGTGCACATTCATCAGTCCCTGTGCTCCCAATAACGGTTCTTTAAATGTTCAATGGTTTTCTACATCAACTTACGAAAGGTTTCCAACAGCAAGATAGAGCAAAGTCGAGAGTTTAGAGCTAAAGGTGAATTTAACTTACAACAATGAGCTTCCCCTCATTTTCTGGTCTTTGGGCAATCCTAATAGCTGCAGCGGCAGCAGCCCCAGATGAAATTCCAACCTGCAATGGTTCACCAACCGGCAGAAGTCCATTATCAAAGAAAAAAAAAAAAAAAAAACTGCAACAAAAGAGCAAAAAATGAGAAATTTGTATTCTTTGCCACAAACTCACCAGCAGCCCTTCTTTCAAGGCCAGAAGCTTTGCAGTTTCTATAGCT